AATCTCCGTGTGGTTTACGATAGTGCGGAATACGGGCAGTTGCCGTCCCTTGCTGTACACATTCATTCCTGTTCATGATCGTGGAACTCAATTCCAAGACAGAATTCCCAGAAAAAAAAATTTGTCGATTGAGCCGCTTCCTTTGAAGTTGTGGATCACGTGTTGGTCGTTTTCGGTCCATATGCTACACAGATGGACATTATTGTAATGTTGCTAAGCTAATACTTAAAATAGTAGGCGGGATAGCCTGTAGATAATGCATCATTAGGTTCGACGAATCAGGTGCGTCATCAAAGTAGCGGCAATCCTATTCGCTGAAGCTAAAATTCGTCAAAGAAGCAGTTCAACGATCAACCGACAATGCACCTGCGAGGCACCGCTGTTGTGGGGAGACGCATATGCATGCGCCATACAGCTGCGGTTACAGCCACCAGATACTGTACCGGGAGAAGTTAAAAGCATGCCGTCACGAAAAGATACACACACAAAAAGGCTTGATGTGTATGAAAACATCGGCATTTAGGATTCTGCAATCAAAATTAAAATCGACACGGACTTCTAGAAGGAAACTACCACATCTATTCCTTTGCCTGTACCGGTTCATCCATAACGCTAAGGTCTGTGTACCCTTCCCCAAAAGGCTAGTCCCGGACACTTTTCAAACAATCTTCGAAAAAAATACTTTGCTGCGGATTTTCGCTGTTCTAACCAGCATCAATCGATCTGGGAGGCTGTTTTCTAGCAAACTTCAGTCGCCGGACTGCAGAACGCCTGTGTTTGAGGACACACTCCGACAGTAGTGGCCAGCGCCCAAATTGACATGTGAGACATTCACAGTTTAATTCCGGACAGACCTTTATTTCCCCTCCAACCCGCCTCCAACCAACTTATTGACGCAGTCGGTCGCATCCATTTGCACCACTGTCCCTTCTGACGTGGGTTTAAGACCAGCTGTTTGTTCCGCTGGCGCATTTCTCTTCATCATAGCCTTCTGCCCCTGGAAGCCCGATTTCTCTTCCACAAATCCAGGACGTTTCGTTGCCCTCCCCGTCTCCGTCCTCTGCTTCTTCTCTATTCTTTTTATCCTCGCTGCATCCCGTTCTGCCATCTTTCTCTTCTTTTCATCAGCCACCTTCATCCGCGCCGCTTGCGCGTCAGCAATCTTCCTCTTTTTTTCATCAGCCAATCTCTTGCGCTCCGCCTGCACAGCTGCCCGGCGTTTGATTTTTCGCTCATCAGTCGCACGGGCTTCCTCTTCTTTCTTACGCCTCCTCGCTAACATAAACTCTACGGTCAAGTGCTCCGCAGGTGCCCCACAGTCGAGATGAACGTTTCGTTTGGATAAATTACTGCTTTCGGCAGTGCTGGCCGTGTGCGATGGAGCACAGTTCATCAGTATTGAGTTCACTGTTTCAGCGTTTCGAAGAAGGATAGTGAGTTCTTGCAATTTTTTAGACGCACCCAATTCGCGGTCGGCAATTTCCAATACTTTGGAAAACGTCACCCGATCCCTCCCTCGCCTCCGTATGACATTGGACCGCTGTCCTACTGACGTCATATCCGCTATTGCATCTTGCGTCTTCGAAGTGATAAAGCGGTTTGGGAAATTTTCGTCAAATGGAAACAATCCTGTCTTCTGGAAGGATTGGCGGATATTTTCAACCGTCACAGCTTCGAATGCATGCACGCCACATATTAAATTAAATCGAACACCCCTTGTTTGGACTACGACTGACTTGTTAAACTCATCTCTAATGTCGCGGATAGAAGTGTTAAATATTTTGTTAACCCTTTGGTCACAGGGCTGCAAAAAATGCGACGTGTTGGCTGGGGAAAAGACAACCTCACACCCATTACTAGAGCACTCCTGTAGCCATTCCAGTCCATTTCTTGAACCATGACCGTCAATAGTTAGTAAGTAGTTCACACCCTGCGGCACGAAGTTGCATACATATTTGTTGAGATGCTTGACGAAAGATGGCAAGATATCCATTTCCATAGATCCCTTTTCGCTACATTTGACAACCCCCCATCAGGAAACCATCCATTTTCCTGATACTTGTCGCAGACAGCGCTACTTTTCTTGTATATCTTTGGCAGCGGTTCAAACCAATTTGACATCACATGCTTCCCTGTCACGATAAAGAAGGGAGGCGCTTTCCTTCCGGATCCAGAAACAGCTACGACTGCAGTAACATGCTTTGAAATGCCTTGCGTTTTTGACGACGCAACAAATCCACCATGATGAGTGTTAGATGAGCCAAAAACTTTTCTCCTCTTACCAAACGTGGCATCAACGGACGTTTCATCGACGTTCCATATGCGGTCACCATCAGATAGCATACCTGGATTTTGCTTCTCTACAGTTTGAAGAATCTCAAAAAACCCTTTAAAATGGCCGTAGTTCTCTCCTTTCAATTTTGCACAATCCTTGTTCTCACAGTTTCGGTACGTTATTTCCCTATGCCGGGCTCTAAACGAACGCACGGCGTCATCAGAAGGCACACCGTTCTTCCAACCCTGTCTTCCATCTGCTGCGACATGCCCCATTATTCTTTTTATGCCATCAATGTCGACGGCATATCCTCGACTAGCAGCAAATACTAGTCTTTCAGCAACCATGGCTTCTTCCTCTTGAGTCAGAATTGTTGGCCTACCCTGCACGCGATTGGCCATTACTTGTTTTTCTACAGCCTGTGTATCTTCTGTTCGAAGTAGTTCTTTTATTTCCCCAACCACTGTCTTGCTCAATTCTGTGGCAGCGGCAATTTTTCGCAAAGAAAGTTGAGTTGAGGTGAGCAATTTTACAGCAGCGGCTTTCCCTTCTTTTCGCGCTTTGTCGCGGCTTTCTCGGTACTTGAGGAGCTTGGTTTGCTTGCGCATGGACAAGGTCATAATGTGCGCTTTGCTCCTGTGAGGATCGCAGGAGCTGAGGTTGAAAGACGTAGGATTGTGTTATGCCCTGCGAGATACTACTGTATCGGGGAGAAGAATGCACATCGAAGACAGAGCGTTTCGAAATGGGCGGGAAATGTGGGAATTATTCGTTGGTTCAAATACCTGTCGGGTAAAGTCAACCAGAGGAGGGCACTTGTTTCATATCTATTTGCTTTTATCGGCATCCCAGACATTTCGGTGGTCAAGTTTTCTTCTGTCCGAAATTACCCCGTGTCCGGAATTAACCTTTTGGGGAAGGGTAGCCCTCACTGGTCCATACATTTTCCTTACTCGTGTACCAATATTCCATCGGAAGCATCGGGCGTAATTCCCTCCCCTCCTGCATCTTCTCGACCAAATCCGGATTTGAGAGGAACGGCCTTCCAAACGCGACCAAGTCTGCGCCGCCCGCGGACAGCTCCTTCTCTGCCGAGTCGGCGTCGAATCCAACATTCGCAATAATCGGTCCCGGGAACTCCTTCTTCAGCTCCGCAATCGTCATCGGCTTGCCCTTGTTGTGGAAGCCGAAGCCCAGCCCGATCATGACGTGAATGTAGCCCAGCTTGTACGCACTGAACCTCCTCGCGTAGTACAGGAACGACTCGCGGAAGTCGTCGCTCCCCATGCCATTGTACACACCGTTCGGAGCGATGCGGATCCCCACGCACTCCGGCTCGAACATCGTCAGAACAGCGCGGATACACGCGTCCACAATGCGGAAACGGTTCTCCAGCGATCCTCCGTACTGATCCGTGCGATGGTTCGAGCAGCTCTGCATGAAAGTATCCAGCACAAAGCCGTTCGCGCCATGGATCTCCACGCCGTCAAAGCCGCCATCCCTGGCGGATGTATTGTATAGCACGGGAAGAGCGATAGATGAAGACGGCGGATAAAGACGGGGGTGTTGTAAACGGGGCGGGCAAGGCTCTACTCCTTCTTTGTGTGATAGGTTTTCCGGAAGAAGCGCAGAAACAGAAGCAAGTAGGTGGCGTTAATAAGTGCGGACACAGCGAGCCCCCTCCCCCCTCTGCACGGCCCCCGACTCCTGAGCCAGATGTACGGGACCAAGCTCGCAAAGCCCGCGACAAACTGGACGATCTGGCAAGTGGTGATCATCTTCTTCCCCGGAAAGGGGATCTTGAGCAGGGCGGCAGCATAGTAGGCGTACATCACGACGTGGACCAGGGTGTTGAACCACAT